GTCCTATTGCCGTTAATGTAATTTAACTTTGTCTCCCTTCAGTGGTGGTGAGTTTGTGATAGTACACTAAATTTCGGGGGTAACTGTGCAAGTCTTGTCACTTTTCTGCCATTTTGCTCAACAAATGATAAGCCATTACTCTGTTTTTTAAGTGTCTAGTCATAGTTATTGAGCTGATGACTTTACAGAATGAGCAGTGCAGACAAATTTGTTTATTTTATCTGCAGATTAAGATGCCACCACGGATCACCCCCCTCAATGATGCCATTCAGCATATCATTTCAAAAAGAGACAAAACATTCAAATTGGAGGTGAAATACATAGATGCTGTCAAAGGTATGGTAGTGATTCAACTGTTGTTGTTATCATCATCATCATCATTATTATTATTATTATTATTATATAACAACTAATGCAAAAAGTAAGGGACACAAAGTAGGAACTTTATTACCGTTATATCAGATGAGCCTCCATCTACTGACAACTCTTTTTAAGATACTTTTTTTCTGAATTGCCGTCCTTTGTGTAATGTAGATTGAATGGGTTTTCCAGGTTTTGTTCAGATTATTTTATTGTCTGTTACAGGACGCGGCATATTTGCAAAGAGTTCAATTTCCAAGGGTGAATTTGTGGTTGAGTATAAAGGGGATATGATAAATGATGCAGAGTCCCAGAGAAGAAAAAAACTCTACCACTCGTCATGTCTTGCCTTCATGTTCGCGTTCAAGTGGAAAGGAAAATTATGGTGGTGAGACTACACTATTTACTGTAATATATAGCACTATAAAGGGGCTTAAATGTTGTGGTGATGTATCTCATCATCTCTGTTTCCATCTTTCCTTCAGTATTGATGCCTCAAGAGATGACGGATCATTTGGGAGGCTAATAAATGACGAACATAGACGGCCAAACTGTAGAATGAAAAAAATCGATGTCAATGGAAACCCGCACCTTTGTCTGTTTGCATTAAATGACATTAAAGAAGGAGAGGAAATTACTTATGATTATGGAGGGGAAGACTGTCCTTGGAGAACAAAAGTAAGTTAAACAGTACACAGAATGATTCATGATGCAGAGTGAATGTGTGTGCCTTATATGTCAGGGTTCCTTCCAGGATCAGATGCATGTCTGGTGTATCTAATGCTCTACTGTATTA